GAAATATATTTTCATCTCATAATTAAAAGAAATGTATTTTCATTTACTCTAACCAATATTGGCAGACTTAATACAATAAAATTTAACTTTTTTTAGAAGTTATTAATTCTTTTTTTTATTATAGAAGAGCATGGGGTTCCATTTGATGGAAGGTGAAATACCTGTTTTGGCTTTGGATATTTAATATTAAATACGCTATGAACAGTTATGGAAAAGTTAATATTACTAATACTCTACAGGCTAAGACAAATGCAAATGGGCTCGGACGTAATTACAGTAGATGACATTAAAGAACTACAGATGGAAAAAATAATAAGATTCTACAAGCAAACCGGAAGGTTTGAAGGTGACACGGGAAGAGTTGGATGACCCAAATCTCTGCAAGGAGGAAATGGGGAAATGGTTGAAATGGTCAGCGGACAACGTGGACTGATCACCCGTCCTGCCAAGGGTGTACCCGATAGAAAATAATAATTATACTCTACATAGTAAAATTTAACTTTTAAATTATAACTTATGTTATCACGCTACGCGTAGTCATTATAAAGTTCATAATATTGACTTTGGATACATTTTGCATTAGCACTCACTTCATATTATTGACGATTTTAAAAAGAAGCGAAGAAATCTTACCTAAATTTTAGCATTAGTGAGCGAAAAATCACATATTAGATAAACGTGTTTTCTGCGTGAATAGGAAATAACGTAATTTTAGAGTTCAATTAGTTTCATTCAATAAGTTTATCACGTAATTAAAGACACTTAATTCAATAAGTCGTGTCCTGGGGCGTATAAAACAGGACCCACACCGAAATTAGACAGTGCAAGACAAAATAACCACTTAGGAATACCTTATTTCACGTGATAATTTAGATAAGTATGTTTGTTTTAAAGTAAAGCTAACTAGGAAAGGTTAGCTTTACCTAAAATTTTTAAGTGCCTAACTTATGAGTATACACAGCATTGTCTATCGTAGTTTAAGCGAGTATTAGACATTTAAATAGAACTTTTAACGATTTAAAACGCGAAAAGTATTATCGAAACTACGTACTACCTAATACATTTCGTGTTTCAAACAGTTAAAACTGTTTTACTTGAAAGTATGCACTTCGTTAAGCGTATAATAAAATCATTTTGTGGGAACAGTGTCAGCGTTACTTGAGATGTTAATACTGCGTCGCATTTAACATGATCTGCTGCAGCGAGGGTACGCGATACGGCGAGCAGGAAGTAGGGGCGAGCAAGTGGGGCGTCGCTCGGGCGGAACTGTCGTTATTGGGTCGAATGTCTTGGACTCTTGTTTCTGTAACACTGCCTGCGATAACGGGCTTTTTGCTAAGGACCATTCTAAACATGTACATTTTATATACATTTTCAGAAACATGAAAATTGATGTTGTTTTTTTAAGTATGTTATCTTCGATGTTGTTTTGGCTTGAAAACACTTTAAGCTGAAAACGCGAAATATATTAAAGTTATTTAAATATAATTTTAGCGGCAGCCCAGGCGTCGGACTGTAATAATTATTAATATATTTTGCGTTTTATTCAATAGTGCGTAAACTACAGACATCATCAAGAAATATGGGTTTTTATAACGTGTAGAGTTGCATTGCGTTATGCGCAAGAGAAAAGGTCTTTGGTTTGAAAACCAATATCTATCATTATTTAAGAGATAAAGAAAAACAATATATGAATACAATCCGTTTGTGCCTACTATACTTATTTTCTACTACTCTGTTTTATTGATTTATACTTTATGACACAACACACTCACAACGAACCAAAAAATAATATCAATAAACTAGACAATCTTATCACTATTAAGCGATCTCTTCCAGGCAAACGTTAGAAAATTGATGTAAAACAAATTAAATTAGGGGATGTGCAGGAGTCTACATCTAAGTAATCTGTTTTGTTCTTATGTTCTTTGATTCCTAGCTTAACTCTATAGGACCAATACTTCTAAGTATTAATGTAATATTAATGTAAGCACAGGTATGAAGGCCCTAATCTTCGAAATCATACAGCACAATGGTGTCTCGTCTACCTGACTCAATGGAGGGATGTAAATGGTGCAAGGATGCCGCTACGCTCTGTTTATGAATCAAAAATAAATATGAATAATGAAAAACAACTGTGAATTTGACAGGCTCGTTGGTGTAAAGGTAGCAATGTACGGCTAATAATCAACGGCCGTGGACTCCATTCCCACTAGGTTTGACATGTTTCTAATTAATTTATAATTATATCTGAAACATGAACTTTATATACTTTATATAGCAGAAATATCTAAATTCCACCCAGATCACGAACCATCGTCACACAGATGAAAGATCCGTGAAGTTAATTCTTGTTTTGGTTTTTATAAACTAAACATTTTCTTGAAAACTATATTATTTTTTACATGTTTGCTAGTTTGCACATGAAGGCACTATAAATTAAAAAATCGAAAATAAATTGAAAAAATTTTCGACTCGGGCAGGGCTTGAACCGGCATCGTCAGTGTTCCGTACTGTTGCTCTAAAGTTTATATTTAGTTTATTTTCTATTTTTAAAATAAAGATTTTCTTGATAATTAATTTAATAATATGTTTTGTTTTTTTATGTTTTAATGAGTCTTTGTGGGCCTTAAAATTCAATAAATTCATTTCTCTTCTCTCTTATTTCTCACATAGATTTTTCTATTCGATTCGACCCTTTTTTAATTATTACCTAATGCCTCTTAAATCAATTACTAATATATAAAAAATAATAATTATTTTAAAAACTGTACTCTATTTATTATTATATTAACAAGGTTGAGATACAGATATAGAATAGTAATAAAACTTACTAATAGTAAAAGCATGGAATTCTGCCGAACTGTTACTTTTTGAAGTTTTTTACTTTCTCTACATTATTGATTTCACTTTCAAAGCGTTTCCTGCAAAATCATATTTTTTTAGATGGTGCACATCCGTCCGGACACGACGCGTATGTTGTGTGTTTCCTTCCTTAGTTAATGAAATTTAGTAACTTTGCAAGTTCACATCATAATTATAACGACTACTGAGATAGGCCTGAACAAAGAATTAAGCAATGATTAAACATGCCTTAAATCAACGGGTCGCGGGTTCGATTCAGACTGGAATCAACGTGTTTCTACATTTTTTTTTTGGTTTTTGAAAATTTGTAGATTAAATGCGTTGTAAAAAAGAGCTTATCCAGTTTGGGCCATGAACTACCATCATCACTTGAAAAAGCCGCAAATGTAATCGCGTTTCCGATGTCGACCTTTTATGCCCTTGAATGTCCATGGTCAAATAACGTCCATAAGGTAAACCCTGTGCTTGTCTATCCTCCTTTATAAAAATAGCAATGACCGTCAACCGTAGCATAAAATAGATAATAAGATTTCTCAATATTTATCGATAAATTACCAACGCCGTTAAGAAACAGCCCATCTTTGCTTCACGGATATCTATCGATGCTTCCGCAATTCTATAAATGATAAAGTGAACGCTAGCAGATTGTTGTCTCAGCAACATTATTTGTAGTTTTTGTAGCGTTTGGCCTTCAAACAAAAATGTAGATATAATGTTTATGTCCCCCATGACCAGTGCGGCAGATTATAATAAATACGTTCTCACAAAATGATTTTATTATACACTAAACACAGTGAACACTTTCAAATGAAACAGTTTTAACGGTTTGAAACACGTAATATCGTTAAATTCGTCTTCGAAACCGTTAAAGGTGTTTTATTTGAATGGGTACTACTCGCGGAAACTACTTTGTTTTTTTTATTCCGCCATCAGAAAGGCATCGCAAAGCTCAAACGCAGGTAGAACCTTATCTCCGATACTCAGAAGACGATTACTGTCCTCGCATATTTGTTGCATGCACCATTGATAAAAAGTTAAAGAAATAAGGTTTTTATTACAAAGAGTTGCATATTTTCGAGTCTACATTGTTTTCGTGATTATTCTATTGGTTAAGAACCTATCGTTTTCGATAAGTTATCTATATGTATTTTTTTAATGATAGAGAAGAATAGATAAGTACGTGGTTCACTAATTGATGGTAGGTGAAAAAGGCCAGAAGAATATTCAGAAATCTACAGACTACAAATGAAATTGTATTAAACTGAACGGTTTATGTAGACGATGGTTCGTGACGAAGTGTAACATGTTTCAGAAACAATATAAATTCAATAAAAACATAACACACCGCTATTAAAAAATGCATGTTTAATTAGAAACATGAAATAATATATTATTTAATGATATGGAAGAACTGAAAACCAAGGCACAGGTATTATTTACTTAAAAGGTGTCCAGATCAAAATTAGATTAAATTAATATGTTTCCTAAATAAATACTTTTTATTTTATCATTTATTCTTAGCCACACGTTGCTACCGTTGCACCAATGACCCCGCCAAAAACGTTGTTATTGCTATATTTGTAAAAATAACTTATATATACAAACATTTAGGTAAAACCATGACCTCTAGATAGAAGTAGCAATATTTCTAACTTAACAGCTGAGAGTTCTACTATAAGAACAACCTAGAATTTAATTATACAGTATCATGCAAAGTGAATGTTAAAACTTCCTTCTAATTTTAAACTGACACTGTGTCCTTGTTTTTTGCCGACAATAATTGCGTTTAATAATCCCAGATCAGTTTACTCTCACTGTCTATTGTTTATTTCCAGTAACTTAACAAGGACCGATTTAAACGCACCGATCTCGATATTTCCTTAGTATAGCTGTAGTTTTTATTGTGGAAAAAAATAACAGTACACTATACAAAGTAGAGAAAACTTTAGCCAATTTGAATGTTGAATGATGAAAAAAATATTGACACAGACAGGATTCGAACTAGCTCATAGTGCCGTTCACCCTCGATGCCTAGATCTCGTGTAATTTATAAGTGACTCAGGACACGTTCGGGTTGCCCCGTTCAAAACAAGGAGCGAACCGGGGACAACAAAGGACGGAAAAAGGTAAGAACGATGACGTATTCCGCCTTTCCAACTCGGCAGGGTTACAGGTGGCCGGCGCGGTGGGCCGTTGCACGTGACCCGGCGCCACTCGCGCGCGCACCGCGGACCGGACCGCTTCGAAATTCGAACGCCTCAGTTAACCGTCCAATATTTGAATTTTTCCGTTCCAATACTTTAGTTTTGAAGTGCCAGTGGAAAACAATTGGATTTTGTAACTGTGATATCCTTTCAAGTACAGGTAAGTTGTAGTTTAGTTTAGTATTGTTGTGCTCCTTGTTCCGGTTCCTGAAGCTTCATATTTTATAAAGACGACCGGGACGTTCAACCGTTTTTTGTTTATAACTTAACAATCAGTTTTTGTGGGAATAACACGTGTTTCAAGTTGCGTTTTATAATTTTGTTAAGAGTTTTAATTATGTTAAAAAACGTTTACATTGTTTAAAAGGTGTTCGTTTAAGTTATAATATATATAAATCATAAGTGAGAGCTGCTTTCTATGTGATATTTGCCTAAATTTTTAAGAATCATCATAGAATCATATCGTCTTATAAAAGACTTCAACGGCGTTGCATCCCTGTTGATTGATTTTAAGAAAATTTCAGAAAATCTGTACTAGGCTTTTATTATCACAACGTTACCTTATTTAAAAAAAATACTATAATATTATTTAGCTAAAGTAGTGATAGTTTCAAAAACATCTAAAGCACGTGTTAGTAACTTTAAATTCAGTATATTTTTAAATGTAGAATTTAAAAATATCTTTATTTAATTATTTTTCGACACCTTACCTACACAATTAATTGCAAGTTAAGTTACATATAACAATGGCTTATAAATACTAAACTTTAGCTTATCGCGATCACTATGCGGGTGAGGAAACCTTAAAACATAACTATTTTAAGAACATGATATATCCTGTGTAGAAATACGATAAATCGACTGTTAATGGTACAGTGGATACAATCTTATAATCCTCACGTGCAATAGGTCTGATTAATTAACTTATCGAAATGAAATTAACGAATTTGTTACGTGTAACAAGTTTCTCTAAGAAATAATTATATTTACAAGCCGTATTAGCTTTCAAGCCTTCTTTAAATAACAAGTACCTACCTATCTCAAAAGAGGGAGGTTTTTGAGAACATTAAGAGATTGTGAACCTTGAACACACTTTTGAAAAAAATATATGTATATACATATTTATTACCTAACAAGATTTGCAATCCCCAATAAATTACGATATGTATCAACAGAATAATTATTAACAAAGTTCCGATAAACTGATACTAACATTGATAAAAGTCACGTCTCCACTGACTTCTTTAAAAACAGATAATAAATTACTATAATGTTAGTCAATACAAACTTTTACTAATATCGATTGGATAATCATATGTTTGTTATATAAAAATCAAGATCTCATAATACATTTACATAGTATAAACCTTATTAGAAAAATGCTTTTAAAAGTAGTCTTAACAAGAAACATAATACTTTATTTAGCATTGTTCTTTTTATTTATAGTTAATATATACATTGTAAGGAATATTCTAGAACTAGAATGGATATTATTTTCTTAATTTATTATAATTCCCAATAACTTTACGATCTTCGTTGCGCAGTTTAATTGCGTTTTACAATATTATTTCTTAAGTAATGGTAATTTATGGAGCGGTCACCTCATATGGCTGTAACGACTAGACGATTAAATAATATGTAGATGTTAGTATGGTGTGTTACGGGATTTTATCACACAAATAAAGCACTATCTGTAGTGTATTTTTTTTATGTATGTATGTATTTTAACTTGGCATTTTTGGTAAACAACACAAGTTTCATAAAATCATCATTTCCTACCAAAGTTTTCTTTGATTTACTTTAAAGACACAAGATTGAATAAAAATAATGAACTACCTCAAATTTACTTAGTAAAAACGAACGATGAAACGTAACATACGTATATGAAGGGACACGTTATATCGTTTCAGTTATGATCAAAGAACAAAACCTCAACGGAAAAATTTGTAAGACCGCATTCTCAAAACACACAACTGGTTTGTTGCGACCTTCCGATAATCTCGAATTGGGATACAAAAACAGAATTATCGCCACCTATTACCGGCTTGACATTTTCCACAAAATACACTTTTTGTTTGGCGACGCGAGCTTTGGTCAATCTTGCGCAGAGTTTGCATGCTTAGACATACCTTAGACATACATTAAAAACATCCATTATACCTTGTATTTGTGCATTCTTCCATGTGCAAGCATATACCTCCAAACCGATCCTATGTATCCCAGTATAATCATAGTTATCCATAAAAGGCCAAAACCATGGTAGCTAGACTACTTCTACATGCAGCTCTTTTTATAAACACGTATTTAATGATTATATTATAATGAATACGACATAAGACGTTAAAGAATTTTCCTCAATAAACTGCATTTATAGATATACTAGCTGTGCGCGCGACTTCGTCCGCGTGAAATAGCGACTTGTGGTAGAATTTTTAATTATTTAGGCTGTTTATTAATATATGTAAGGGCGCATTTAGGGCAGCAAATCTATGTTGTAAGTGCTACTTTGCCGCAACAATCTCACCTCACATCACTCCTACTCTAAATCCCACTCTCATTTATACACTCACTCTCATTCCCATTCCCATTGCCAAAAAGCCAAAGAAGATTTCATTGTTCTAGCTTCAAAAACGACGAATTTTCATACAAACTTTCACCCCCCCTTTTAACCCCTTACAACCCTTTTTCGCAAAATAATAGTATAGCCTTTGTTCTTTCTCAGGGTCTAAACCATGTGTGTACCAAATTTCATTCAGTAGTTTGGGCGTGAAAGAGTAACAGACAGATGATAAACGGTTCGTGGGTTCGATCCCCACCAGGGCCAATATGTTTCTATTTTTTTTTTTTAAATGCTGGACTTTGTCTGGAAGTCTAGATATTAATTGGTAGCAATATAGAAATTCCGGGTCAAAAACCACCGTCCACAGATAAAAAAGTCGTGAAGCTTAGCTTAATGACGTTTCAAAATGGGTCGATAACGCATCTTGTTTAGATGCTATAGCCGGAGGTATTTCACCTGCCATCGAGCGAGCCCCATGCCATGTCTGTCCTCGTCTATCAAAACTAATCTTTGCGGCGCTATCGAAAGTACTTATTTGTCATAAACTGAAGCTTTTATTTAAACAATAGATCTAATAAGTGTGTCGGTTAAAAGCTCGTGACTCACCCTCTTAATATTTCCTGCATCGGCATAATACATACTTGACAACGAAACTTGTATATAATGTTTTTGTTCAACGATAAAAATTAAGGACTTGTTTACTGTTGATTAAATTGTTGTATTATTTGAGCTAGTGCAAAAGTTTCTTACTAAAAAGTTTGTTTGTTTTAACGCGCTAATCTCAGGAACTACTGGCCTGAATTTAGAAAAACATTTTATTTTGTTTTAACTACGTATCGAAGAAAACTTTAAACCGTAGTAGGAAATTTGGAACAAAATCAAATTTGAAGGCTACCGTTGTGTGCGCTGCGAACGGTTTAAGATACTTACTTAATAAATAAGTATGAAACACTTTTTTCTTCAAATAATCTAAAATATCTATCTTTAGTAATCAAATTGGGTCGAAATCATTCATAGGGCAGATAAACGTCTGCCAGATTAGCTAGTTTACAATAAAAGGAAACGCTTTTAATAATTTTTAAGACTTCATCAAATGAGCAAAATAATGATGACGTCATACTGAATATAAAGCTAAGGGTAATCCCCTTACAATTAAAAAAGAATTACTTATAATAAAAAATCACGTTAATCCACATAATATTCATTGGTTGCGGGCTCTATATAGCAAAACTTAGAATTATATTATCTTATTGTATTAAAGTCTCGGAGACTTTTCTTGTTAGAAAGAAACGTCAGATTTGGGATCTCCTGAGAGCGAGCAAGACATTCGCGTCAGATGTAGGAGTGGTGCAGTATGCGTTTTTACTGCAATGTTTCTGCACCTTCTATTGTGGTGCTTTGATAAGAAATTGGCGATTTGTCGAATAGAAATTCGCGTTATAAGATTCAGTCTTGGTGAAAATCTTTTCAAAATAGGCAAAAATGTTTCTTGTCCGTAGTTTACGTGAGTAGATTAGACATTTAATTATAATACTAATACTATATACTAATTTTGCGTTCTAGAACGTTAAAAATATTTTATATAAACAAAATTCTGTCTTATTAAAATATGCTGTTGATTTTCGGTTGTAAACATGTTTCCTAAAGTTTCTATAATCGGTTTGTATGCAACAATTTCTTGGGACAACCAGGTATCAAACCCCCCGCATTCCACTAGAATCACATTATAACGCTGATAACGCTACAGCGCCTCACTTAGGGCTCCGTTAGACAAGGCGCACGCTCGTCGGCCTTCGCGCGACCGGTCGCCAACCACCGCTTACTTTCAAGAGTTATTTCGGACACAAACACCAGTCAGGCACCATTTACTGTTCTAATGAATTGCCTTCCAATTGCCAAATAGATTTTTTACTCCACCGTCTTTATTGGTAACCGCGGCGCATAAATATTCATAGATTCGTGTGGGCCAAGCTAGACAATCATTTTTAATGTCAAAAATAATTAATTGTTACAATCGATGTAATTAATGAAGGGTGAAGCTGAAGCGCTTGTTGGCATTTGTCAGATTTAAGAACTCAATAGACACAACTAAAAAAATATTTATGACAAAAAATACTGCTAAGTCAAATGTTATTATTATGTATGGCTAATAATCGACACGTTGCACGTCGTGGGTTTGTCTGGGTTCAAAATATTTCTAATCAATTTATAGTTTTTCTGAAACATATTGGACTTCATTTGGAACTGTGAATATTACATGGGTGGTAGGAACGCCGAATCTAACATCACGGCGGATGTTACTTTTTCTTAAAGACAAAAAGTACAATTAATATACATAATAAATTTAAATGATGCTTATAACGTAAAAACGATTAGTTGTATAATAGATAATCTTACAATATACATTTCGAATCTTAGGGCTGTCTCGTACAAAGCCGTAGATGGGTACAGCGTGAATTATGGTAAGTTCGAAGTTCGATCAATATTGGAGTAAACGCCATATTTTCCAAATAATGAAACACTGATCTCTGAATCGCATTCAACAGCATCGATAATTTATTTATTCTTTAAGCTATAGCTTTATCTCCCCGTGACCACAGCTGCTGCTAAGCGTCCGAAACGTCCGTCCGTAGTTAAAATAATTTTCAAATATGCTTAATATCGCGTTTTAAACCGTTAAAGTGTTTTATCAAAATAGATTCGTTAGCGTTTCACCCAATTACCTAAATCTTCCTCTTCGTTTCCTAATTCTTTCTAGATCTTTTTTCCTCCGTCTCATTACACTTGCGTCCACCACAAGCAGTTAGCCCGTTAAACCTATCATTTTCCATAATCGATCATGGGTCGCAATTATAACGACAGAGGTCACGTGGCGTCTCAAATAACAAGTACTCTACACGAGGCTAAACGCTAAAAATTAATTATACATGCATTATGACCACAGCATGTACAGCAATGTTCGCTAAATCAAAATAATAAACGATGTTTTGTAGTATGATCATAATTTTAATTATCTTATTGGCTTATGTGTTACTCATTACGGGAAAAACTTATCTCTATCAAAGTATGTAAAGGTATTTTGTTAATAATGTTTTTTCAAGTTTGTACTCTTGCTGTATCTTAATTTACTACAAGTTTATTATAAGAGCCCCGGCAGGGCTCGAATTCACGCCAATAGTATACCGAGCAACGAGCTATACCAATGATTAGGCAATTGCTAAGATGTTATAGTAACGTTAGTTAAGATTCAACTGTTCTTTATATAGATGCATATTTTTCTAAACCAATGAAACATTTATTTTGCAAGCCACCAGAAGTAGCTGCAACACGGTTTTCTATTAGTTTAGCACACATTGGACATATTTATGACTAGACGTAACGCGTTACGTAACATTTCGGTAATCGTGGATCACCGGTTAGATGGTACAAGGAGGTCAACAGTACATATCGGGGTCAAACGATCAAATTGACATTAGAAGCTTGCGTTAAAAAATTCCATACGAATTTTAATACTGCGCTTCGAAATATCTATTTTTAACAGCGTATATAAAAGATATATTAACTTAACAACTGAATCAACATACGTATGTTGTTATATTATAATGAATATATTATACAGAGTAAATATCCCAGGTGAAATAATGATTATGACGCTTTTTTGTGATGAACTTAATAAATAAACACCGATATCAGTTTTACTATTTAGTACTTGCATTGTAATTAATAATTAATACAATTTAAAATAACAAGGTTTTGATGACCACAAGGAGACCTTAAATATAAGAATTGTAATATAAGCTGAACCTTGCCGGACCTACTGCAGTCTAAATATTATCTGTACTTTACTCAAGCAGTACATAAATAAAACACTTTAAACGGTTCAAAACGCGATACAATTGTTTTATTTAATTGACTGCTTTAGTTTGCTGTTAAAAAGTAAGATTCTGGAAGCAAACAGGAAGGTGTGTGGACACGGTGAGAGTTGGATAACCCAAAAAACCTCTGCAAGGAGGAAATGGGTGAAATGAAATAGTCAGCTGATGGTGGGGACTGATCACCCGGCCTTCTATAGGTGTCCTTGATAGAAAATAAATAATAATAACAGTTAGCTGTTGAATTTTTTATGATTTGTCAATTTATTTTTAACGATTTTACACTCTATGGTGGTAATTTTATAAATGTATGTATGTCTTGAACCGGCGTTGAACGATACGGTAGAGCAATTGGTTAGAGCAGCACGGTACGCTGTGAGTTTCAGATCTAGTCCCGTCCTTGTCGAATATTTTCAATTTAAATAGATTTTAATTTTATATAGTGCCACTGAGTACACATTAATGTAAAAAATATTAAACTACTTAAATGTATGTAAGACTGTTTTATATTTATACAGTTATCCTTCGCTAGTCAATTGTGAAATGCCTCAAATCTGTAGCAGCCTCGCTTTCTTGCATTTACTTAATTCGTGACCTTTGTTTGATATTATTAAACTAAGACAATGCTATCAGCGTAAAGTGACTGACCTTTGTTTTTTTCTCATAGAGCAACATTGCTGAGCAATTAAATCCTCTTACAATTCTCTTTTACTGTATTTGTTTTAGTTTACCCTTGTTTATACTCATTGTCTTAAGGATACTTCATGTTGCAACGTTTGTTTTGCTCATAAGCAAACTTAGCGTGCAACTTTTTGCTAATAATAATTACAGTTCAGCGGATCTACATCGACTATTATCTATACTTAAGTGAAATACTGTTCCTATGATATAATTTGGTATTTATTGTATCGTATCTCAACAACTTTCTGCGTTCTTTTGTTTTTTAGATCATCGTATGCTTTGTTGCTAGAGAAGTAACATTGATAAAGTTATCTCTAACAATTTTTTCATCTGAGAATTTGTTCTATTTTAAGTTTAAACTTTATTATTTCTCACATATGGCATTATATAAATTAAAATCTACTGCTATTAAAAAAAAAGGTATTAAAGTTGAAATAACAGTGCACGAGTTGAAATAACAGTACGCACGAGTTGCATGTATCAGGTTGAAGAAATTCGACGATGGCACGAAGGAGAGCAGAGCATAAAACGCTGTGGTTGCATGGGTTCAAGTCCCGCCCGTGTCGCCGAATTTCTTCAACGTTAAAAGATTTTTTAATATATATTTTGAGTTCCTATATTTTATTTGCTAGTTATTTGCCAAACTAAAAAGTCTCTAGGTCTACCTTTTGTTGCGTTCATTATATTTGAAATACGGAGCCAAGTAATGTATACTTAAGTACAGCTGCTATGTACAGGCAATAGTCGAATCGACGCAATAAATACATAACCACTCTGTTTACAAAACCGTGACACACTTATATTATTAATATTTTTTCTTCCGCAGGTAGTGAGGTGCGATCTGTGGCTGTGGTCGTGTAATCGAACGAGACTTACGAATATTCGATGTTTCGAAATGCTTTCGTATTGTGAAACCAATTAATCGAGTGCATAATCGAATAGACTTTTAAAAGCTTTGCTCCGACGCCGGGACCTACAAACTGTCTTTTAGTTCTTGGTAAGTACTATATTTGAAAACTTTAATATTTCAGACATGTTATTGCATGATGGCACCAAATAAATTAAGAATCGATTATGAATTGAAAAAAATTACGACTCGGGCAGGACTTGAACCGGTATCGAGAGCGTTTCGTGCTGTTGCTCTAACGAATTGAGCTACAGAGTTCTACACGTCACCGTCGGATTTTTATTAAATTATTGAGACATGCACCTTAGCGCGATGTAATTCAACCTTTATATATGCTTTCCGTACTATATTTACATGACATATGCAACACTTAAACTATTCAATTAATAGTAATTACGAGTATTCACCGAAGAGGATGTTAGGTATCTAATGTTTTTTTTATTAATTAGGTATGTTCCTACTGTTACCATAGAGTACAAAACCAATTAAATCATTATTTAAAAATATCTCTATTATTTACGTAACGATTTCAATTATATTTGCAAAAAATGTACAATCGCCTTAAATTAAACGTACTTAACGGTTTAAAAGACTAAGTATTTACGTGAGTAATTAATACTGTTACGGCTGAAAAGCACCGATAACCATTTTTATTAATTTATAAAAATTCTAGTTGTAATAATTAATTTATTATACGAGTTATTTAACGAAATGATAATAATATACAAATATCTAATTCTACTACAGTATATACTATACTGTAGGTACTTCTTCACTTTTAATCTCTTTGTAATGTCCCTTATTCTCAAAAAATTCTGGAACTTTCTTTATTACATCACACTTACAAGTTATGTGATACAAATTCTTAAAAAGCGCAGTGGAAAACTTTTGAAACGGGTTTTAACATCCGGATACTTTTATTACTTAACTTGCATCTCTTAAATTAAGCCTCATATATCATACGCATTATAGGTATTAAAAATAAGCATTAAATTAATTTGGATGGCGGACGCTTACGGAATCTAGGTTTTGATCCGACGCCTTTTAAGTCGCGTATATATGCTTCAAATACTAGGTAGATTTGTTGAAACGAGGAAAAGAAACAAATGTTTTGACTGAAAAGAAATGTTACGGCGAGAATATAATAGTTTTAAATAGGTGGTTAAAATAACAGGCCGACAGCGCATTTTATTTAGAAGGTATAGGATATTACACTTCCCAGTTAACTCGACGCATGTCGTCATCTATCATAAAAAATAGTTTGCGACCTTGATGACAGACACACGGATAGTGAAACAATTTTCTATTGCAGCGAATCACGCAAATTGCTGTCTCATTAAATTGACCATTCAATGTCACCTATTACGTTAACATACACGATGTTATACCAAATAAAATTCATATCATTAAAATCTAATTACGAATTGCAAATTTTCCAAAGAGAACAAATTTAAAGCCCCGTATGATACGTAATATATCAAAAATAACTAACACACTTTACGTTTTAAACGGTTAATAATGTTTTATATAAATGAGTACTCGCCTAACCTACAAACGGTACTTTGTAAACCTAGAAAAAATTTCTTTCGAGTTAATTTCAACAACGTTACAAAACAGCTGAGCTTCTCTCATACCCAGACCCACCACTCTGCTCCAGTACGGGTTATCGGGCTTCAACCACTACCACCGCTAAATTAGTTATTAGAACCGTAACCGACGGCATAACTTGCCGAATTACGCGGTGATGACACTTTAAATCTCTGGGTTGTTACTGTTCTTTTCAGAGGTCCAAATATAGAAATATCATGCTTCCTAACCCAGAATTAAAACGCCAGACTTCCTGACCTGGAAGTCCGTTAACCACTACACCAAGGAGGAAAGAAGTAATTCGAATGAAATTTAAGTTATCTTTTTATACAGAAGATTAATAAAATCGTCGTACGCATTATTTAATACTTGTGGTTCTTGTAGTGCATACTCGTATGGGCATGCATGAGCCAGGGAAAGTGCATAGGTGTGGCTTACAAGAATTCGATTTTTTACTCACATTCCACAGGTCGAAAGAGTCTTTAAGATTTCAAAATTTACATTTATTACGTGTGCACTAAGGTCTATTTTTTATATTCTAAATAAAATTTACAATTGGTCAATCCTATATTATAACAGATGATCGTCTCCGCAGTTGAATGATTCAGCATGATCGCGTAGGGTTAAGCAGGAGAGGTCATGTATTCACATCTTGTACAAACAATAAATTGTTTCCATCAGATACGGCACAGATGTCTGATCAACTATATAGACAAATATCATAGATCATTAGAACGATAAGAATACGCAGAATAGGGAAAACAGGAGCAAAAACATCGTTGACATTTTAAATGGTTCTTTTCCGCCATTCTTTTAAGTCAAACGTCAAAATGACAGTGACAATTGTCAAATGCAACATATAGATAAAAATATTTCGATGTTATACTGGGTCCGGTATACTTTATAGCTTTCGACCCACAAACCTTTAGACCTGTTTCGTTTTTACATAATATGCTTCGCGACAATCATGTTGCAGCATGCATTATTACTCGAATGGTTCCTCGTAAGCCGCCATTTGTCGTCGTACTAAGTTAGCAACAGTCGTAGGTTTGAATCTTATATTTTTTTAGAATAATTCTCGTTCTAGAGTTAGGTCAATTTAAACGAAGCAATAATATTTTGTGGTAAAGAAGGACAGAGATGCGTGGGATTCATTGATCGAAGCTGAAATAACCTAGCCGTGCATGTTAACAAGGTGCGCTGTTGGCCTATTTTTGTCGTTGTTGACTGTAATCGAAATGAGATTAAACTTCACCACTTTTTCTTTTGTCTCGTGACCCAGACGTACTTTCGATATACTTACCTTCCATTTAATATTCAGGTTTTACAGACAAAGTTTAACATGTTTTAGAAAAATTATATATTTATTCTTGCACTCGGTGGGGATTGCGATCCCTTAATATAGCCATACCTCTCTGCCATTTGAGCAAATAGCGACCAGATATTTAAACCATTTTACACTAAATGCTGTTTTCACGGGTAATCCGACAAGCTGCTTGCGAAAATTATTTGAAAACGTTGACCTTACAGTCACAAGACGCAAACTAATTCAACATTAACATCACCGACCGATCATAATGAATTATATACGGAACCTCACGGAAAGAAAGGAGTTGTGACAACCGTCGATGTTCGAAGAATTCTTACATTTAATAAAACCAAAACATACGTGTTAATAATATAAAAACCGTATTTTGAAGTATATCTGAACCGTCTCAGGTTTAGTTTTAACAGTGTCGGCTAGTTGAAATTAACTACGTCCAAATAAAAGCCTGATGCAAAGAGCATCCAAAATGTCTGATCGCAATTAAAAATAAGGGAACTTATATATATTTTTCTTTTTAAACTGTTAGAACTGTTTTATTTAAATGTGTATTTCGAAATGTAAACATGCAAAAACTATCATATTTATCCGAATATTGGTTTAAAATGTCGAATGCCGAAACTTAACAAATAGTTTCATTACGTAGCGATACTTAGGAATTAAACATAATTTGACTTTATTATTATTGTAAAGTATAAAAGCAGACATAGCTACCACTTTAAAATGTCAAGTATAAAAAAACTTAGCATTTATTTAGAGCTATGTTTTTAGTTTATCACTAATTAGGTTTATAGAACACTAAAATCTGAATGCTATTCAACGAAGAAAGCGTAAAAATCCAATGACTTGTGAATATTGATCCAATGACACGCGAAATCTATGCAAAATATAATATTAGCAATCGAAATTCACATTTTATATGCATTCGTATTAAATCACAATTCTTATATTATAATACAACTCTCTCTTTAGTTTATTTGAATATTTTACCACAATTGCCGGTACAACAGTAAAAACCATAAACACCATGTAGACCAAACTTGTTAGTACAATGGTATCTATAGCTAATTATAACAAAGATCTAATGACATGTTTTGAAAACATTTTTTCTTTAAAAAAACTAGAGTCATTAGTTAGACTTTATCTGAAAAATATGGGTATTAAATGAGTTGTGGGAATATCGACATTCCGACCAGTTCACGATCCTCCTCCCATAGATAAAAAAGCCGTCAAAGTACAGCGCACCGTGTTAAGATGTTATAGTTATGGAAAATGTATTTCATGCCCCAAGGAGTGAACACATCCCTTTTATCCTCCTCTTTCGTAAAGAGAACTAAAAAATATTAAGAGAACTGAAATATATGTAATAAAATAAAAGAATTAAATGAAACAGCGTAACAGAAGTGAAGAAAGATTTATTTAAATGTGTTCTACTCGCGATATTATTAAAAAAAGATTAAAGTTTAAATTGATTTAATTAAAGCACTTTAACGGTTTTAACGCGATATAGATTAGTTAAACTTGTTTGAAAATTAATTTTAACTTCGCCCCGAGGTTTCGGATGCTTTACACCAGCCATGGTCACGGGGAGTCATGTGAAAAAAAAAGGAAAGAATAAGAAAAATAAATTAAAGATTTAAAATCTATTTTAAATGAAAAACCACTTTTATGTATCGAAGCCACTAAATATTATGTATAAGGAATAAATAAAGGAACAGGTAGAACATGTGATACCATCTATAGCACCAGATTACTTTCCCATGTCTGGTCATCAACCGAGCTTCGAGACTCATTGAAAAGTGAAAATTTCTTACATATTTAATTATACACTAGTGTAGATACTTATATAGCTTGATATGAGCTAACAGGAATACGTAGTCACCATATTTCACAGCATTATTATTAAATATCTGATAACAGCCTTGTTGATATTGGGAACGACAGGCAAGCATGGCGTTCGCTTGGGAAGGTCAAATAACTCTTTAACAAGATATGCTGTGGAGCTAGTTTGGCTTCAACAAGAGTCTACAGTTTGGTCTAGTG